TGTATAAATTGCCCCTTTGGGTGAAAGGTTCTGCATATATCAATTAAATCCATTTGATCTAGAGTGTTATGTAATGTCACATTATTCTTGTTGATTCTCTGTTTGGAATATCTATTCATTGTTGACAGTGGGGTGTTAAAATCCCCTGGTGTAAGTGTGTTGCTGTCTCTACCTTTCTTGAAGTCTCCAAGATTTTTCTTACATTTTCAAGTACTCTTATATTGAGTTTATATATGTTTATAATGTTTATGTCTTCTTGATGGATTCTTCCTTTGAGTATAATGAAGTGTCTTTCTGTATCTCTTTTTATGTCCCTTGTTTTAAAGTCTATTTTGTCTGATATGAGTATTGCTAATCCAGTCTTTTTTTCCCCTGACCATTTGCTTGGAATATGTTTTTCATGTTTTTACATTCAATCTGTGTATGTCTTTTTTTTCTGAGCTATGTCTCTTGTAGCCAGCATATGTGTGGATCATGTTTTCATATCAATTTAGTTACCTTACGTCTTTTAATTACAGCATTTAATCCATTTAGTTTTAAGGTTATTATTGATAAGCACTTATTCATTTTTCCCCATTTGCATATTTGTTCCTCTCCCTTTCACTTTTTCTTCCTCTTCTTATAGCAGTCCATTTAGCATATCCTGTAGTGCTGGCTTGGTGCAGGTGTACTCTTTCAGCCTTCTTTTTTTCTGGGAAACTCCTTATTTTGCCTTTTATTTTAATTGAGAGCCTTGCTGGGTAGAGTAGTCTTGGTTGTAGGCCTTTGCTTTTCATTACTTAGAATATTTCTTGCCATTCCTCTGGCTTGTAGTGTTTCTGTTAAGAAATCAGCTGAAATCATTATCAGAGCTTCTTTTTATGTAACTAGCTATTTCTCCCTTGGTGTGTTTATTTTTTTAAATTGCCATTTTTATTATTACATGTATTGGAGGAGGCCTCTTTGGGTTCATCCTGATTGGTACCCTCTATGCTTCCTGAACTTGTGTGACTTTTCCCTCACCAACTTAGAAAATTTTTCTGCAATTATTTTCTCAGACACTTTTTCTATCCCTTCTTATTTTTCTTCTCCTTATGGTATTTCTATTATGTGAATGCTGTCATATTTCATGTTGTCCTCAAGCTTTCTTAAACTGTCTTCATTTTTTGAATCTTGTTTCATTTTGTCACTCTGACACAATATTTGTTTCTATTTTGTCTTCCAGCTTGCCGATTTGGTCCTCTGATTCATCTAACCTGCTATATTTCCTTCCAGTGTGTTATTCCTTTCAGATGTTGTATTTTTCATTTCTTCCTGGTTCTTATTCATAGTTATTATGTCATCTTTCATGCTGCTATAGTTCCCTGTAAATTCCTTATGGCTCCCATAAATTTCACTGTAGTTCTCACTGAGTTCCTTCAGCATTCTTATAACCACTATTTTTAATTCTATGTCTCAGTGATCACTTGACTCAATCTCACTTAATTCTTTTGGTGGGAATTCTTCCTTTTCTTTTAATTTGAAGTTTTTTTTTTTTTGCCTTCACACTTTACATGACTCTTTTTGTGTGTTTCTGCATCTCTGGTTGCTTGCTTTACATGCTTGTTTTTGTGAGATGTTGCTGTGTTTTAGGAGTTTTGTGGAACTCAGTGCTTCAGTCCCACAAAACTCCTAAATCTTTGATCTCCACATCTGGATATAGTTTCGTGTGCTGTTTGCTCTGTGTGTGTATGTGTGTGTGTGTGTGTGTGTGTGTGTGTGTATAGCATGAATCTCACCTAGTTTCTGTATCCAAGTATTTTCCAGTGTGAGTCTGTGCCTTTTCTGTTCTGGGAGAGGATGGAGCTCCAAAGGTATGATCTCCATCTGGCTCACTACAGCTGCAGGCACCATGCACAAATATTTACCTTTCAATTAAAAAAAATCTCCTTACCACCCATTGTAAAGCATTTCTCTCCTTGTTGGCTTCCAAACTTCATATCAACTACAATTCTATTGAATGTTCAGTTTATCTGACAGCAGATCAGTTAAATACCCAAGTTGGGTGTAAGAGCAAGTGGACTCAACTTCCAGCTACTTGGCCACCACTTATTCCTTCACCAAACTCTTTTTAGAAGACAAGTATCATCATAAATTAGAAGAAACAGATAAAGACACAAAAAAATAAAAAAATACAGGCTAGTATGACTGATGAGCAGAGAGCCTACATTCCTTAACAAAATATTACAAACCAGATCCAGCCATTCATCAAAAAGATCATATCCTATGATCAAATGGAATTTATCCCGAGGCTGATAGAATATTATTCACAGAAGTAAATGTGATATATCATATAAACAAAATGAAAGACAAAAAATACATGAACACCTCAAAGGATGCAGAAAAAACATTTGATAAAATTCAGGATCATTTATGATAAAAATCACTTAGCAAAGTTGGAATAGAGGAAGCATACCTCAACATGAGATAAAACTAATGCCACCATGATACACATGGATAAAAACTAAAAACGTTTCCCTTAACTTGTGTGACTAGTTACAAGGAAAAGGAACAAGACAGGGTGTCCACTTTCACTATTCTGATTCAACATAATACTGGTAGTCCTAGCCACAGTGATCAAATGAGAAGTAAAAGACACCCAAATTGGGAGGAAGTAAAACTGTCATATTTTGCAGATGACATGATATCCTATGTAGAAAACTCTATTGGATCTACAAAAAAACTACTTATCTAGTAAATGAATTAGGTAAATACTGACAATGTTGTGGGATACAAAGTCAATATTCATAAGTCAATGACATTTTTACACACCTATAATGAACTATCAGAAAGAGAATCTAAGAAAACAATCCCATTTACTATTCCCACTTTTTAAAAAAAGACCTAGGAATACATTTAACCAAGGAAGTAAAAGACCTGTACTCAGAAAACTATAGAATATAAATTGAGGAAAGAAATTGAGGAAGATATAAATCAGTGAAGCACATACTATGTTCATAGACAGAAAGAATTAACACCATTAAAATGTCCATACTACACAAAGAAATCTATAGATTCAATGCAATTTATATTAAAATACTAATGGCACATTTCAGAGATCATAAACAAATATGGCACCAGAAAATAAAACAAATAACCTCAGCATTCTTGAGAAACAACAAAGTCGAAGAGAACACAATACTTTACTACTAGGCCACTGTATAAAAGAGTCTGGTCCTGGCATAAGAACAAACACATGCATCAATGGGATAGAACTGGAAGCCCAGAAATAAGCCATATCTTTATGCTCAATTAATATTTGACAAAGGAGGCAACAGAATACAACTGAGTAAATACAGCCTCTTCAGTAAATGGTGTTGGGAGAAGTGGACTGAGATATTCAAAAATTAATTTAGACCATCATCTTACATTGTAAATCAGAATATACTCAAAATATTTAAAAGAAGTAAATATAAGACTTGATACCATAGAAGTGCTAGAGGAAAACATAGGTGGCAAAATTTCAGATATCTTGCATTACAATATTTTCACCAATGTAATCACCTAGGGCAAGAAAAACAAAGGAAAATAAAAACAAATTGGACTACATCAAATTAAAAGCCTTCTGCACATCTAAAGAAATCACCATCAAAATGAAAATGGAACCCACTGTATGGGAGATTATATTTGCCAATGAAATATTGGAAAATGATTTAACTCCAAAATATATAAAGAACTTACATGACTCAACACCAGGAAGACAAACAATCCACTTAAAAATGGCAAAGGACATGAACAGACACTTTTCCAAGGAGGACATACAGATGCCCCAAAGACGTATGAAAACATGGTCAACATCACTAGCCATAAGAGAAATACAAATTAAAATCTCAATGAAATATCTCCTCATGCCTATCAAAATGGTTATCATCAATACATCAGCACACAATAAGTGCTGGCCAGGTTGTAGAAAAAAGGGAACATTAGTGCACTCTTGGTGGAAATGCAGTCTGGTATAGTCACTGTGGGAGATAACATGGAGAATCTTTATAAAGTTAAAAATGAAACTCCCCTTTGACTCAGCAATTCCTTTTCTGAGAATATACCCCAAGCATCACAAAATACCAATATAAAAATATATGCACCCCTGTGTTTTTAGCAGTGCTATTTACAATAGCCAAATGATGTCAATAACCTAAGAGCCCATCTGTAGATAAGTGGATTAAAAACTGTGGTACCTCTCCACAACAAAATAGTACACAGCAGTGAAAGAAGAAAGTCTTACATTTTGCAACATCATGGATAGACCTGGAGAAAATCATGCTAAGTAAATTACACCAATCAGTTTAATTAAAATACTGTGTGATCTCACTTATATGTGGAATCTAATGAACACAGACTAAATACTTAAGAAACCTTAGGTACATATAAATTTTCAGCTGCTGGAAAGGAGGAAAGGGCATATGGATTGAAAGATGGTGAAGTGATTAACCAGAGAGTATTTATGCACAACTCATGGACATGGACAACTTAATGTTGAGATTGACTTGAGGAAGGGAGAAGATGGGACTGAGTGGAGGAGGGGAAAGGGAGAAAAAGTGGGAACTGCATAAAAAATACAAATAAAACTAAAAAATAAAGTAAAATAAAATGTATTTCTTCCCCCTGGGAAAAAAAAAGAAAAAAGTGTAAGAATATTCTCAGATAAAAACACTTCTCTTCCTTCTTACATACAAAGGTTGAAGGAAAGGTTCCTGTCTTTCAGGAGTAGGTTTGGAAGTGATTACTAGGCATAAGTGACTACTATATGGCTACTGAGCATAGCTACAATGAATAGTTTTCTGGTACAACCTTAGGGACTCTATCAAAAACTCTGAGAGTTGCAACCCATAGAGAACATGGCTCTCTTCTAAGACCAAGAGAGCCATGAATTTAGCAGCTGAGTTGGGTGCTCCAAGAAAAGGAAACAGCACATGAGCTGCTTCAAGCTTAATCATTTCATTTGGTCACTTAGGCTTCTTTTCAGGGACCATGGCACTCACCTCAGCCTGCCAGATGGGGTTCACAGTGTTGCCAATGATCTTAGATCTCCTCTCCTGCCCATGGTGAGGGAGGGCAGGGAAGATGCTGTGTTTCCCAGGCTGAATGGAAATCTTCAGGTAAGGATCTGGGTTGAAAAACATCCCTTTCTTCAACCCCATGGCCTGGAAATCTACAAAGTAAATGATATTGTGTTTTAGTGATTATATCAGGCCTTTAATAAGAAGAAAAGTTTGTATAAAACATAAAAAAATCTTTCACTCTTTATACTATTTCCATCTCATTAGAAATATGAACTAATATGTCTAAAGAACCCACTGTTTGAAATATTTACTGGCATCTATTCTATCATTTTGGTGAGAAATCCCTATAATAAATAAATGTATCTGGAATTACAGTTTCTATGCTTTTTTAAAAAGGGACCACTGGCTCTTACTGGACTGGATTTAACTGTTCCTTAGGCTGGCTAAGTTAATGAATAGGGTTGGGTGAGGGTCTGAACATCACCTCAGAAAACTTGGGTGGACAAGTGGAGACATAAGAAAAACAAGGGTTGTTGTCAAACAATAAATCTGCTCTTCACTAAATAAGAGAGAATTAGAAGAAATAAAGAGAAAGAGGAGGGTTAAAAGAGGAAAGACCATAACAATGGAGGAGTTGTTGTTATGAACAAAAAAAGAAAACAAGGCCACTGTAGAATCAAGTGTATATCAGTGAGGAGAGTTTTGAATAACCATATTGCCAGGGAAAGCAAGGCTTTAAAAACTTAATGATTCCATTTAATTGATATTATCTGATCCTGTAAAATTTCATGCTGGAGGGAGAAAGAGGGGTGAGAGAACAAAATAATTTGTAATAATGGTCTATAATTATAATTATTCTGAGATATTTTGAAATCATTTGATATTTTGAAGTCATTTTATATTGAAAATATACTTATGACATCAAAAACATAAAAGTTTTCTGTTATTGAAATATTTTCTCCTCAAAACTATTCCCATCCATATATGAATGAAAGAAACCGAGGAAAAGATACATTGAATTGATTCACAACAATAGTATAAAAGTTGTGAGGTGTTTGAGTAATTTAATACTAATGAAAAAGCACAGATGGTTTCATATAATTTACTTAAAATTATTTTGAGTTGATTCATAGTTATTTCCATAATTAAATATTTTTACTGTTTTATAAATTGCCGTGAGAAAAAAGGAAAGTATAACAAACATCACAGAAATCTGCAAAATGTAGGCTAAACTCATAGGAGTATGTGCAGAAAAGAGATAACACAGCAGCCTGAGACTTCTCTCCCTATAAATGTCCATTTATAAGGTAGGCTTTTAGCTAGCATCTGGGAACTTGGATCTCTGGAGGGTTCTCACACTTTAGAACAAATAAGAGTGCCTCACTGTGCCTAATCTGTGGGTGGGAACTATGTGGTCTCCTTCTGGGAGTCTGGAAGTTTGGTGTGTGCTAGGCATAGGTACCTATGTGACCAGACATGGATGAAAACCTTGGCACTGAATCTGTAATGAGATTACCTGGCATACAACACTTTATATATATTGCCACACCTTGTTGTTGGGGAAAATGTGTGCATTCTGTGTGACTCCATTGGGAGAGGACCCCTGGAAGCTCATTAATTATTTTTTCAAGACTTCAGCCCATGCACAGTTTCCCCGTGGTTATTTTCCTTTGTATCCTCTCAATATAATAAATCATAGTTGTGAGTATATTTATATGCTAATCTCTAGTGAATCATTAAATCTGGGGTTGTGTTGGGTTCTCTGATTCAAAGTTTAGCAATGATTATTTATCATACTATAATGTGACTACTATCACCCCCATCATCTCCACCACTTCCAACTACCACTTATTGGCTAGTTACTAAATTCTGGGAACAATTTTATAATATTCAAATATGAATATTATCTGATTTAATTATAAGTATAAACTCTATAAGGTAGATATCATATTACTAATTTGAAGAAAAGAGAATGGTGGCCTATAAGTTAAGTGACTTGATGAGGTTGTTGGAACTGGTCAATCTCAGAAATAAATTTGGAGCCAGTCTGTTTGATTCCCAAGTTTGTGCCTTTAACCAATATTTTCTAGTACCATTCAATAAAAATGCCAATACTGGCATAGGTTAAATTTTTAAGTATCAATGGGTCTTTTTTTAATCTCTGAGCTTTTGACCTTTATTATTTTTCTTTTCCCCAAATAACCTTCTAAAGACATTTCTTTTTAAAATACATTTTATTGATTATACTATTACACTTGTCCCATTTCCCCCACTTTTTTCCCCTCTGCCCTGCACACCACTTTCCACTGACATCCCCCCCCGACTTTAGTTCATGTCCATGGGTTTTATATATATAAGCTGTTTGGCTTCTACATTTCCTATACTATTCTTAACTCCCCCTGGTCTATTTTGTACCTATCATTTATGCTACTTATTCTCTGTACCTTTTTCCCCTCTCTCCCCGTCCCACTCTCTTGCTGATAACCCTTGATGTGATCCCCATTTCTGTGATCCTGTTCCTGTTCTAGTTGTTTGCTTAGTTTGTTTTTGTTTTGCTATTTTTTAGGTTTGGTTGTTCATAGCTGTGATTTTGTTGTCATTTTACTGTTCATAGTTTCGATCTTCTTTTTCTTAGATAAGTCCCTTTAACATTTTATATAATAAGGGTTTGGTGATGGTAAACTCCTTTAACTTGACCTTCTCTGGGAAGCACTTTACATGCCCTTTCATTCTAAATGATAGATTTGCTGGATAGAGTATTGTTGGATGTAGGTCCTCACCTGTTATTACTTTGAACACTTTTTCCATCCCCTTCTTGCCTGTAAGGTTTATTTTGAGAAATCAGCTGATAGTCTTTGGGGAATTCCTTTGTAGGTAACTGTCTCCTTTCCTCTTGCTGCTTTTAAGATTCTCTTCTTATCTTTAATCTTGGGTAATGCAATTATGATGTGCCTTATTGTATTCCTCCTTGGATCAAACTTCTTTGGGACTCTCTGAGCTTCCTAGACTTCCCGAAAATCAATTTTCTTTGCCAGATTGGGGAAGTATTCCTTCATTATGTTTTCAAATAAGTTTTTCATTTCTTGCTCTTCCTCTTCTCTTTCTGGTACCCCTATGATTCAGATGTTGGAATGTTTAAAGTTGTCCTGGAGGTTCGTAAGCCTCTCCTCATATTTTTGAATTCTCGTTTCTTCTTTCTGTTCTGGTTAAATTTTCTTTCTCCCTTCTGCTCCAAACCATTGATTTGAGTCCCAGTTTCCTTCCTGTCACTGTTGGTTCCCTGCATATTTTCCTTTACTTCACTTTTCATAGCCTTCATTTTTTCCTCTAATTTTTTACCATATTCAACAAATTATGTGAGTATCCTGATTAGCAGTGTTTTAAACTGTGCATCTGATAGGTTGGCTATCTCTTCATTGCTTAGTTTTATTTTTCTGGAGTTTTGATCTGTTCTTTCATTTGGGCCATTTTCTTTTTGCCTTAGTGCACTTGTTGTGTAGTAAGGGACAGAGCCTTAAGTGTTCACGATGGCAGGGCAACCCACATTGCTGGGCTGTGATGCTGTATGTGGGGGAGGGCTCTGAAAGAAACAATGCCACTTGCTCTGCTCTCTGCCAGTTTTCAGTCACTTCCCCTGCTACCCACAAGCAAATTGGGCTCTTCTGGTACTGATTCCTGGGTGGGTGAGTTTGAGTACATTCTAGGACCCTGTGGGTCTCTCCAATGAACTCTCCTGTGAAGCTGTGAGTTTTTTCTGCTGCTGCCTCACCCTCCACGGGTGATTTTAGTCAGAGGCTTTGAGGCTTTATTTCCTTGTACTGGAACCCTGGGTTGCATGGTCTATCTTACTCCCCAGTTGTTCCTCCCAGTTTATCTGCATGAAAATGTTGGACCACGCAGTCCTCCAGCTTCTGCCTTGCCAACCCCAGCCTTGCCATGAGTCCTCTCCACCTGGCTACCTGTCTCTGCCCCTCCTACCGGTCTGGATAAATGTTTCTTCTTTAACTCCTTGGTTGTCAGACTTCCAGACATTTCAATTTTCTGTCAGTTCTGGTTGTTTTTTATTTTTGAATTTGCTGTTGTCCTTTTGGTTGTGTGAAGAGGCACAGTGTGTCTACCTATGCCTCCATCTTAGCCAAAAGTCCTAAAAACATTTCTTTTTCTTATATTTTTTAAAAAATTGAATGTATTGAATGACATAGGATAATACAATTATATAGGTTTCAAGCATATAATTCTATGATACATCATCTGTGTATTGCATTGTTTACCCACCACCCAAAGTCAAATTACCTGTCACCATACATCTGACTCCCTCCATTTTTTACTCTGTCCCTCCCCTCTGGTAACTACCACACTATTATCTGTGTCTATGAGTTTTTGTTTGTGTGTTCATTTGTTCATTCGGTTTTTATATCCCATATATGAATGAAATCATATGGACCTTGACTTTTCTGTCATTTTGCTTAGCATGATAATCTCAAGATTCATCTATGTTGTCAGGAATGGCAATATTTTGTTTTCTATGGCTCATAGTATTCCATTGTATATATGTACCATATTTTCTTTATCCAATCATCTGTAAAATGACACTTTAGTTGTGTCCATGTCTTTGCCATTCTGAATAATGCTTCGATGACCATAGGAATGAATATATCTTTACATATAAATGTTTTCAAAAATTTCAGGTAGATAATCCAGGAGAGGGGTTGCTGGGTCAAATGATAGCTCTATTCTTAATTTTTCTGAGGAACCTCCATACTGTTTTCCATAGTGGCTACACCCAATTACCACCAGCAGTGAATGAGTATTCTCTTTTCTCCACAACCCCTCCAATACTTATTATTTGTTTCATTGGTAATAGACATTGTAACAGGTGTGAACATGGTATTGCAATGTACTTTTGATTTTCATTTCTCTTAGAGCTAGTAAAGTTGAGCATCTTTTTATATATCTGTTGGCCACTTGTCCTCTTAGGAAAAATGTCTGTTCAGGTCCTCTGCCCAATTTTTAATGGAATCATTTGTTTGTTTGGTGTTGAATTGTATGGATTGTTTATATATTTTGGATCTTAACAACTTTTCCAAACTGTTGTTTGCAAATACCTGTTCCTACTTGGTTGGTTGCCTTTTTGTTATGTTGGTGGTTA